ACTTTGGTTTAAAGTTTTTTTTGATAAAACTTACCGTTTTTAAGCAAAATCCAAAAAACCTAAAATTTCGACCTTTGACCTTGAATAACTTTTAACGCACACATAGAATCGATGGGGACTTTTCAGACTTTATTTGTAATGGTAAGCTACAGCTCTCCACCAAAATTTAGCTTTCCGGCAATTTTTGTAACTTGACCACTCTTTTTATGTCTAAATTGACCGGACTAATATACATACATATTAAAATTTTTAAAATATACCCTTTCTAAAACTTGCCAAACTCGTGGATAGAAACCTCGTGGTACTCTGTTAAGTGCACCATCCAATCTACGCCTTCGTAACCATTGTCCTTGGCGATCAGGTTCAGTTTCACTGCTATCTGTTTGATCAGGACTTAAAAATCCACCAATCTGAGATTTCTAAAAAACAATGTCGTTATAATTTTATATTTTACATTGATTATTTAAATCCAATTTATTTACCTTGCTCACTCTACTTGATTTGCAACTGATGATAGAAAAATTACCTCTTCCAACTGCAAAAGCAATAAAACATTAAAATATTATAGTATCGGATTAATTGTGTTCCTAACAAAAATTTAAGGAAACTTACCACTACTTATCGCAAATTCTTTTCCGCTCATGATATGATGTAAAAGATTTTTCATTTCAAATGGAGATAAATTCAATAAATGTTCGGAAGCTTCTTCACCCGTACAAATCAATGTTCTTGACAATTCCGTGGCCATTACTTGAATAATTAAGCCAACCCTAAGCCTCAACATTTCATGAAATAGCTGCGGTTCTGTTCTAATAAACATAGCTAAATATACAAGCAATTCCTGTGTTAACATAGCTGTGGATTCATCATCTCCATATGCTTGATGAATCAAAAATCTTAATTCATTCTCGGGTAACGGAGCTATAATCGTATGCTCATTGCTTGGTGGCATTCCAACAGTAACTTGTTTTTGTCGTACTAACAAGTCTGTGACAGCTTTCGCTAAATCTTCTACTCTTTTTCCTAGCATACCAGCAGAGTGACGAACAATGCCCCACATTTTTTGTTGACATGCTTTTTCATAAAGATCCTTTAATAAGTCTTTTACTAATACTGGATGACCTTCTTCTACCATGCCCGTATTGAAATAAAGTCCTTGTGAGTCGACCTATAATGCATATGAAATTATAATTTTTATAAATGAAAATAAAAAAAGGAATAATATGTTAAACAATAAACTAACAAGATATTGTAATATGTCTCCCTGTTCTTCAAGACTCTCAGTCTCGCGAAGCATTGTTAATAATTCTTCAACTTCTGTATCAGCATATTGTGTCTCAGATATGGCTCGAGATTTATGACTTTTTCCAGTAGTTCTCCATATCCGAATATCTTCCGTAGGAGATGGTGTACGATCGGTGTGTGGAGGTTGCGTCGAACTTGGACTCAAAGTTGTATCTGTCACTTCAATAAATGGATTTAAGTTTATTATAGCAGCAGACGGTCTACGGTCTTCTGCCGTCATTCCGAAAATTTCAGCTAAAAAACATTTATATTATATATTAATATATGATATAACATATAATTTTGTTGTATCTATATATACTATATATATAAGTAATATCACTATTTTAATATACATGTTATATCTGTTAATATATCACTCTATTAAGATATGTGATTTCTTTAATATAATTACATACAAAATATCATACTTATATATATTAAACCTATTAGAATTAAAATAAAAAAGAAATTAGTAAATATTATAGTTAGAACACTTACATTCTCAGAGTATGACGGAGATCCGTAACAGAAGAAATGTATTATAAAAACGTTAATAGTTCTTCTTTCAGTCAACATGCAATAAAACTTTTAGAAAGTTAAAAGTATCTTCAACGAGTAAACTTAATAATATTAGCTTTTACTTACGTTCAACAGCTATAGATCGTGTCTTTTTAATGGCACCTTTAACAGACATTCTTCGTCTCAAATTTTTTCCAGTTCTAACCACCGGCTTGTTAAGAAGACCAGTGCGATGAGGAAAAGCACGCATCAAGTGTTCGTCTAAATATTGTTGAACCTAAGAAGATAAGAAAAGTTTTTACCATTTCCCCATTTATCAATTGGTATTTTATTTATATATTCATAAAATATAGTATTAACCTGAGGATTAAGTTTATCAGGACGTCCATCTTCTGAACTACCTAAGAAGCTCAAATTCGTAATACATGATGTATTAAGAAAATCATTTAGATTTCCCAGTGATACCCTAGTACCATTTATATAACCACTTTTCAATTTTTTCATAGTAGTTATCATTGCCAATGGTATTTTTCCTTGATCTGTAATGATAAATATTTTTGTTGAATCTTCTAAATTGAACAAAATGCAATTATATAATGAACAGCACTATTTGAAGACTAGAACCTATTCAAAAGTAGATCTTGTTATATTAACTACTTTTTCTTATGATGATCTAAAGCTGCCAAGGTCGTACCTAAATGATTATGAGTAGCAACTAGTGTTATGGTAGGCCTGCCGAGCATTTGCTTCCAGTTGATGGTCAGGAAGGCCAAGTTGGTTGTAAAAGTATTCGCAAGGAGAGCCGCATCGTTTGTTGTGTAGTATTCCTCCGCGTCAAAGTTCTAACACATGCAACAAACGCGCACACCACGAAACACATAAGCCATCTGCGAATGTTTCTAGCCAAATTGAAGAGATTATGATTTTTCTATGATTGTTTCTTTTATGTTAAATGAATTGCAATTTGTTTTTTTTTTTCAAATCATTACTTGATTTTGTAAAATATTTTAACATTAGCAGTTTTTGCTTCTAATATTATAAACAGTCATCTTTTTAAAAACAAAATTATAATAGTTAGTATATCATAAAACAGATAATACTTAATTTAATCTTCACTGATGAAATGTAATTATAACCAACTATAGCCATTCAGCAAGATTGACGGCAAAAAACAAATGCAAACATGCAGACAGACGTGATGTAAATAAAACGGGGAATGAATTTTCTTTTATAGAAAGATCAGAATTTTGTAAACAAAAATGTTATCAGAAAACCAGGAACCTATCGTCTATACCTCCACAATTAAAAGATACAAGACTTCTCACAATATCGAAGGTCATCTTAATATTTTTCGTAATATATGAGGAAGACAATAACAAAGATCAAAACTATGGCTTTCAGACAATACGTTACTGTACCTAGATGAACGTTCTTGAGGGGCATGACCACAAGAGGCCGGCCCAACATATTCTGCCAGCTAGACTTCAAGAAATTAATTTCGCCTTTGAATATGTCAATCATGAGCTCATAGTCCGATGCGATGTAGAAGCGGGTCATATCTGTCAACTAATGTTTGGTGCAAGAACAACAGGCAACATAAGAAAAGAAACAAGAATAGAATGGTGAAGAAGATCTACGGACATTCAGGTACTAACCTGTGGTGTGAATGCAAATATTTTATCGTGCAGAGAATACAATTTACTGGTACTCAGGATTCCAACATCTCTTGATTTACGGCCAGATAATCCTAACTTTTTATTTCGTCCTAAAAACATATAAATTGTTTATTTAATATTTTATATATACTTTTTTATTATATATTCAATATAGCAGTAATTATAACATGCTTGAAATATTGCATTAAATATCTATTATTTTAATTACCTAAATAAGTATATAAATGACTAAGTACTTTTGCTGGTTGTACTTCTATTGGCGCTACTTCTGCGATGGTTTGGACATGAATATCATGTTGTGCAATTTTTTCTCTAATCTCTGCATCTTCTGCCAAAATAACGACTTGAACCACAACATCCGGTTTTTTTTCACTGCACAAACGTCGATTCAATGGATCTAATTCACCCACTGCTAGAAAGCCCTGTTCAAAGCATAATCAAATATCGACCAATTAAATTAAACATACATTTTTTGTCACATATAGAAGAATTATAACTATACTTACTTCTTGCAATAGTTTTCCCAAAATGTAAAGAGATTGTGCCCACATAAATGGATATCTACCTAAAGCTATGCGAGGTTGACTACCAGGCTGAATATATTCTGCTGCAACATTTTCAGATGCAACTGAATATAATTCAGGAACTAATCTCATTCCATCATCTGCCTTAATCGTTATTTGTTCGAGTAACTTTGAGTACTCTGCTACTGCTTCTTTATTTCCTTGGAAACAATAATCTAATATTAAATAACAAAAAAATAATGGCCACTCGCATTCTATATTTTCAAACATGCGTAGTTCCCATGGTTCGTAATATAATCTGTAAATAATATATATAATATAAATTTAAAATTACGCATTTAAAATTGTCATTATCATATTAAACATTTCTGTTACATCTTATTATACCTGTTAGGATCTTCCTTTGGTGTTCTATATCCATCACGTAAAAATCTCTTACATCCATAACGTCCTTGTAATTTACTTGTTATCGCTTCTCTTGTTAGTTGTATTAAATTAGGTTCATCTACCGCAAATGCAGGGAAACTTATTATAGACAATAATCCACTATCCAATTCTTTAGAATTTGATTCTCTAGGTAACATGGATTGTAAAACAGCTTGGCATTTTTGTGCTTCATCAGCTAATACATGAATTACGGAAGTAGGTCCACCTCTAGCACCAAACAAATCTAATTCGTTCAAAGCTTCCATTGCAGCTTTTGCCATTCCAATACTGCTAGCATTTAATTCAGGTAAACCATGATTAGTTTTATCACCTCTTTCCCAAATCCCGTAATCAGGAGTACAATAAGCTGATTCGATGTAAAATACTAAATTTTGTATAAAAGCAACCTACATATACAAGCACAGATAAGTAAATGAAATAGGTAACGTTAATTGATAGTATCATTAAAAATTCTAAATACTTACCTCGTCAAGATTAAATACAATTTGTAAGCCAGATGCTGTCATCTGAGCAAGTACCAAAAGATATAGGGAAGTAGCATCTATTTGTAAATGACCCCATTCGTTATCTCCGACAACGGACTGTCCATTAACAGAACTGTATTTAGCATGTAAAGCATCAAGAGGATTTTGACTAGATTTAAACTTTTCAACTTTATCTTTTTGCTGCATCATAGCCATAAGTAAACCTCTCATTAATTTAACGCAACTTTGTTCTAATTCATAAGTTTTTGCTCTATCTTCATCGACGTCAGCTATCTTTTTGTATGCCATTGAAAGTCCCCAAACAGCGAGGATACAATAAATATTATCACGAACCCATGCATGATTATTGTCGCTGCTTGCAGGAAAAAGACCAGTAACAGGGTTTTGGTGGTTCATAATAATCTTATGAACTATTCTCTGGTAATAGTCCAAACGGACGCCAGAATTGCTTCTACTACGCATCTTCATGTGTTTAAAAACTGTAACATTTAATTCCTGATTATATAATGCCACATTGTGTCATATATTATTTGCATATTTACTAATTTTTATCAGAATATTGTATTTTATAGAAATAGCATAAAGGTTAACAAAAAATTATTATCATTATATAAACATACCTCTTTAATATAAACACTTTAACGTAACAACTGAAAATATTATTTTACTTTCAAATGCGTATTATATTAGAGGAATTGTTATTCGAGAATATTTTAACAAACACATTCTAATTACTTTTTTAATATCATGAAATGGTCCTATTTATTGCAAAAATTTATCGATAATTGTAATATTCTATAATAAAAAGTGAAACGAATGTCAAGTACGGCACTAATAGTAACAACTTCTTTCCTAGATTTTAAATTCGTTCTACGTATGACTTTGTCCAACTGCACATAAAGTGACATTGACTATATTCGTACGCCTTTTTAGATCTCCGTTCTTTGCTCAATTCGTTTGATGACGTATCCAATTGTAAAAGACTTACTGAAACGATTAACGCGTTATACAGTTATATCTTTATTTTCTATTCAAATATTCACAAGAAAGATAATTATTGAATTTTATAACCACAAATTTCTTTCCCTCTTTCTTCATTTCCTCCTACTGTAGAAAAGAATTAAAAATTTCAAATGTGCACGTGTCTCTCGAGATACAGAATTTGTACGTGCAAAAAAAATGAAAAAGAAAGAAAATCGATACAAAGCGGGAAAGTATATAATTTCAAATTTATTTACTAGATAATCAGTAAAAAAACAATTCGTACTTTTCTATATCGAATTAAAAAATTATTTAAATCGAATTACAATAGACTTTAATAAATTTAAATTGTTTTTAACAAATTTTGACGAATTAGAAAACGATCGGAGGGCACGAGTCTCGTGTGAATAACTTGAGAATCGAATAAAAGTGCTAATGTCGCGTATTTGCGAACGAGCCTTAATTATTTGGTTTTGCTGTTTTGCGCAACAATTTGATTCGGAGTTAATTTCAAAGGCAGTTAGCTGCAAAGTGGATATGGAGTAGACGTTTTTGCAGTGGTCGTGAACCACTTTTTTTTAGTTTTTATATATATGTTTTAAATAAATTTTGCAGTTCTACTGTTAAAATTAAAGATCGTTTTGGCCTCGATAACATTTATAAAATTAATAACTATGAGCTACACAAAGATGATTAATTTAAGGAAAATTCTACTGTTACTATGCATTACATCTGGTTTAACCTCGTCTGCCAACAACGAAACACAAACAGATGGTGATGGGTCAAATAAACTTTCCTCGAATTCAAATAATTCGAATACTTTGACTACCTTCATACCAAAAAATGTTGAACCGGTCATACCATTAACAACAAACTTTCCATCCATTAGCACCAAGGATTATAAAGTATGGTAAACTTCAATTTGTATGTCATTTGACATAACATAAGTATCATGTTGAAAACATATTTTTATATAATTGTAGGAAAAAAATAATAGTTTCGTACAAACAGAAGGTGGTCCAATCTCAAATTTACCGTCCGTGAAATCATCGATATTCAATCAGAAAGTAATTGCCAAAAATAATTCTTTATCAATGACGGTTGATAATGTATCTGTAAACAATGAGAATGTTAGTCAAGCCATGACAACTGAAAAAGATCTGCCAGTTTTGGATAGGAAAAGAGGATATTTAACTTCTGATCAAACAACTGTTAGCAATGTTAAAATAGAACATGATGATAATAATAATAATAATAATAATAATAATAATAATAATAATAATTCTACAATTGAAGATATCTCTACAAAAGTAGTCAACAATGTTACACAATTGAATAATATGAGTACTACTGTACTACGTGTACCAGATATATCAGAAAAAAAACTAAATGATACAGTTACTTCTATAATGCCACCTGCGAACAAACATAAGCCAAACCCAAAACCAACTGTGACAATGGGTGGAGGTTCAGCAGATCCAAATAAGCCTATACCTCCATCACCAACTAAAGGTTCTCCATTAGGAATGCCAAGAAAAATTGACTATATCATACCTATTGCTATTACCATTGTTGCACTTCCAATATTGGGTATAGCTAGTTTCTTTCTTTATAACCGAGGTAAAGACTGTTGGGATAAGAGGCACTACCGAAGGATGGACTTTCTTATCGATGGAATGTATAATGATTAGGTAACGAAGGAATATATCTGAGAATGATCCTTGCAATAAGATTTTGTAATATACATAGTAGACAGTTAAACTGCTTTATCGTTATATTTTGTTATATTTTGTTCTCTAAACATGATCAAAGAAAATTTTCATATAATTTGATTAGATTTATTCTATATTGACAATATCATATATATATATATGTATGATATTGGTTGACAACATTTATTTGAGATTTTGTTTATTATAACAGTTATGTAGAATTCGATTGTGTCAAAAAAAGTAATGCCGTAAAAGAAAATTAACTAAGAGAAGGAAAGGGAATATCAATAATAAGAAAAGAAAATTTCAATTGTATATATAAAAAAAATAATTAAATTAATAATGAATCAAATCTCAGAACGGTTATTACAGTATAACTGTTGAATGTCTAATATGTTAATCTTCTATTAAAAGAAAGGCTTTATAAAAATTAGCCAAATTTACCTGCTATATACCCAGGAATATAAATGAACAATAATGATATTATGAAGATAAAAATATAAAACTATTTTTAGTAGAATAAAATGCAAAGATATATTGCATTCTCATACATCAAAGTAGACAATAACGGCATTATCCAACAAGACCTTGCCCTTCAACTTATAAATATAATTACGACAGATTGTTGTAAAATAAGATAAAATATACTCAATGTTGTTTTTTAAATTGAAGTATGGTGCATAGATTTGACCAAAGAAGTATGTAATTGATAATATTAATGTAGTATCATTGTTGCATTTACTTGTATTAATTTGATTTTTACATATTTTTTACAAACTATTCTTTTTGTTAGAAATAACACGAAAAAGGCTCATGTTGTGTACATACATTGAACTATTGCCATAAGTAAATGTGTTCTATTGACAATGTTCGATAATTGTCTTATATTGTTGCAAAACCTATCAATGATTTATGGGTTGTGTCCATTGTAAAGTTTTCAAAATTGTTATTTATGAAGGTTATATTTTGTCTAAGTATGAAAAAAGCAATAATAATTATTTTTATACATGTGTATATGTAAAAAATTTATCAATATTGTTATAAAATATAGATACTTACAAGCACGATCATATTTAATGATTTAACCCATTTAATATATATTTTTAATTAAGACAACAAGCGCACATAAATGACAAAAAAGATTTGTGTAAGTGTTATAAAATTTGCGTTCTCTCTATTTTTCTTTTTTTTTTTATTTTTCTTTTTTTATAGACGAGATTTTTTAAGATTTTTATTATTAAGCTTTTTGTGTGTAGGTACATAAATTCAGTGACATGTCATTATATGTAAATCACATATTGTACATCCATTAACAGACAACTATTGTGAGAAAGATGATTAATGTCATCCTCCGTATTAACTTGCAAAGAATAATGCTTTTTTTTCTTATAGAATATTAGGTACTATGCATTATTGCAAAATATCATATCATTAATCAATTGTCATAATGTTTACTGAGAATACAGTATATATTGAATCTCATAAGTCGTATTATTTCGAACAGCATATTTTTAAAAGTAGAAACTATAAAATAAAATAAAATAATGAAAATAAAAATAAAATATACAATCAGTTTTAAAATATGGATATATCGTCATCCACAATTATAGTTTCGGCGATGACATTCTGTACATTTTGTACTACATAGTACGTTTATATATAAGCAATTTTCAATTAATTTTAATGAACCTCAAACGTATAAAGCTAATATAGTATTTAATAGTTATCCACAAGCTATAACCACCTAACTAATAAATTCGCTACGAAAAAATTACTGCAAACTTAACGTGGAATACATTGAAATCGTTAAGTCATTGATTATATATAAACTACGATAAAATAAATATAAAAATAGTATTTGTCATAAAGTCAAGTTTAATATTAACACCTTATTAGTTGGAACGAATAACGCAATCCATCGATCCGATAGTTTTTAGAGAATGTTATTTTTATAATTATGTTACTTTTGTTCACGATGATTCGCTTTGTGTCGCGACGATCTCGTGTTTTCGCGTTAATGGTTTAAACAAAAATTTACATTATCGTTTTATAACAAACGTTTACACTAATAATTAAAAATCCGTCCAATTATGTTCAAGAGGAATTTCTTTCTTATCATAGAAACAAAACGATTTATATCAAATTACACATTCGAATATATTTTGTTGTTGAAAGGAAAAGTAAAAAAATAGTATAAGTTGTGCATATAATTACAGTCGAAAGAAATCTCTTTTTCTTTTCTTTTCTTTTCTCTCTCTCTCTCTGTCTCTCTCTCTCTGTCTCTCTCTTTTTCTTTTTAAAAATAAACGCTACAACTATCATGTAATAGCAAAAAAGATAGAATTATCTTAAAAATTTTGGTTAAATGACTCGTGAATGCGTCGAATTATATAGGTAAAGTTCAGCGAGATTAGGCCTCGATTGATCACGCTGACTTATGGTTGTGCACGATTGAACAAGTTCACGAATCGGTATTTTACCGATTGTAAAGTTTCGAAACTTCTTTAAAATTGATCGAAGAAGAATCGTTTGTCAAATGCAAACCGAAGTAATCGTCGTCATTATTTTTCTTATTCGACGATACCGATCTGAACCAGGAAGTTTAGTTTCAAGATTAATCTCGACACGTTTATACAACCGAATATATTATCTTCTTATTTAGATTTATATTTAGTTTCATCAGGAAATGCCTCTCTCGGAGGTACCAAACTAAGCATCATCACATGACGTTGATAAGCCCTTGAATTACGAAATTGAGTATCCGTTCCATGAAGACGATCTAAAACGCCTAATACTCCAAAACATTGATTAAATCTGAAACAAATAAACATGTTTATTTGTATTATCAGCGTGATATCATGTTAAGCAATTAAGATATTTAAAAAATGCGAAAGAGATGGTCCTTACCTTAAGTGATGAAAATCATGTGCCTCTGGAGATGGGAAAAACGGTAAATGGTAACCAGAATGAGCATTCAACGTCGAAAGAATTGCAAGTGAGAACCACAACCATGCGGTGGCTACGTGAGAGCCAACGATGAAAACACCGAGAAACGGTGGAATCAAATTGGAACCAATGTGTTCTAAAGGATGACAGTACAACGCTGTTACCGCTACTGGTGCAGTCCATTCATGATGCTGTTTGTGTATGTACTTGTACAAGTAACGGCTGTGCAAGAATCTGTATAATCATGAAATTAAATATATAGGAAAAGTGTCTTTTTCTATTATATCAGGCTTTAATAACGTGTATACCTATGTGAATAGTAAAATCCAATTTCCTCGAACAATATATGAATGGCTATCTCGACAAGCACCCAGTGAAAAGTCGGCAATTCTCTTACCGAGGGATAACCGCGCCATTCCATAAAGTGATAACTGCAGTATGCTATAGGAAGTCCAACGATTATCTGATTTAACAATACTTGAGCGATTACTTTGCAGAGTTCTCTTGTGTCGACTGGCTCATTCGTGCCTGGTTGTATCTTGTATCTTCGTAAAGCTGCCGGACGATTTGTAACGTCGAGGATCGTATAAATGCCTCCAAAAATCCAGTAAACCATGAACGTCAATCCCATTGACCCTAAATAAATAATATACTATATTTACAATTTACTTATATATATTATTATTACGGTGTTTTTCTTTATTTTTTATTTTATTATACCATAAACCCATAAGGTTACAGGATCGTCTCCAAACTTATTCAAAATCTTGTCCCATTGAGCTTGCCAAAAGTCACCGGAAGCGCCCCAAAATCTTTGGAGATGCCTATGATATGATGTAAAAATATTAAATATGACATTTAATAGGTAATTTGTTGTCAAAAGAAAAAATATCGTTTACCATGTCAACGAATTGCAAACAGCAGCAAATCCAATAACAACAGTTCCGATGACGAAAAGGACGCTTCTCAAACTCGAAAGCAACGTAGGCGGAGTTTGATTTTTGCCGGCATCTCCGCTTGGATTGGTAACTGAAAAATTTTCAAGTAATTTATTATTATTATTGATAAACAATTTGAAATATTGATTGTTTTTTTACATCTTAAATATAAATAAATCGAAAATTATTAATATTTAATCATGGATAGCTGGAATGGTAAATAAAATATATTTACAAAACTTTACAAATGTCGATAAAAGTATTTTATAAGATAAACAATTATTTTTATCATTCCATTTATTTTGTATTTTATTTATAAAGAAATTTCTTCGATTCGTGTGTTCTGAAGCTAATTATCGCGAAACAAGTTGAAAAAAAATCACTTAATTAGAAGAGTATATAGAATCGATATTAAAACGATACATCGATCGACATCGATATTTTAAATAGAAATGCTAATTCTAATTGCTTATAATATTTGTAGATAATTACGATACGGGATCAAAAGGGAATTAATTTTTACGATCGAATTAGAAAAACCGAGAAAACGAAAAATGAAATTAATAACTTGATTTCTTCTTATATGAATTATCGTATAACGTTTTAATTTATATTTCACAGACAATAAAAATATTTCATGATTATATATTTTTTTTCTATATATAGGTATATTGTACATTATATAATGTAATAAATCATGTAACTTTTCTGCTAGATCATTCTCGTGCAAATTAAATAGAATTAAAAACTAATTATAATAAATAAATAGATAGATATAGAGATATAGATACGAGAAAAGTGAAACAATATGGTGGAGCGAAGAAAAAGAAAGTTAGCGATTGTCCAATTTTATTGAAACGTAAAGAATAATTCATTCGAAATTATTTCTTCGATAAGCGAAAAAAAGAACCAAAGAAATAAATACGTGTTAAATAAATTTCTCACGATTCTACGTGACTCACTTTTCGATTGCGCTGAATCGCACTCTTGTTGTTGTTGCTGGGATTTCTTTTTGATTATCTTTCGAAACATTTTGTTTAAGAGACTTATGCTCGACATGATTCAACTACGCGCGTTATGGGGAACTAATTGATATTACACTACAATATGAATTTATCTTCGAAATCGTAATAGAATAAAAACTATAAAAATACGAGATCAAAATACAAAGCTCGTTATTTCACACACAGCATCGTATCATTAAATGAAACGCACTACACGGTGTATGTCTGCTCGTGGTTCATCATCAGCCAACAAAGACCAAACGAGAGAGTGAGAGAGTGAGAGAGATAGAGAGACAGAGAGAGAGAGACAGACAGACAGAAAGAGAGAGACAGAAAAAGAGAGAAAGAGAGCCTTTGCTCCCCCCTTTTACAATCTTTCGTCTTTATGTTTCACTTTTTTTTATATAGTATCATTATTTAATTTCGACAGTGAAACGTCATTGACTTTTTTATACTCTTAACAAAATATTTGAATTTATCGACTTATTTTTTTTCTTCATAAATATAAAAATTTGTGAAGGAAAGACGTCTTTTTATTTCATGATTAAAATTATATAATATTAATTTATTTATGTTGAAATATATTTAAATATTAGCTTTTGTTTTTCTCATTTTTTTTGATCTCTTTCTCGTTAATTTATAATTTAAATAACGTAGTCATTTAAAATTAAAATCTTATTTAAAAAGATTATATATATATATATATATTTATTTCATGAATTTCGAAAGATTTTGATCGTTATCAAATTATTCTTAAATAAGGTTGAAGTTTAACAAGTGTGCGTACTTGGATGTTTCAAAAGTCATTTTACCGAACTGAAAAATTATAAATTTCTTTTTATCAAGTATTTTTTGTAATTTTTTAAATTTCTTTTTCTTTTCTTGGTAAAATGACTTTTGGGGCATCCTGTATATAAATATACAGGAAAATGTATAGGAAAATATACAACAATAATATACACAAATAAAATGCATTATTTTGTGAAATGGTTTAAATTCATTGTTAAAATAGTTGTTTCTGTGTATCGATGATCTTTTTATAAACTATTAGCAGAAGAAATCGATCTCATCTACTGATGCAACGAATTATAAATAAACGTACAATGCTACGAATTTAATATCATTGGTCTACAGATATCACCTGTGTATGTTAGTTGAAAATCATTTGAATTTTCTGATTTATAATATATAACAAAGAATTGTTTAGGATAAAAAAAGAATTGATAAAAAAAAAACATAATAATATTTGTTGTTACCGTATCATTAATCGATCACTGTATTTTTATTGTGTGTTGACGTTGCTTCGTGATTATCAAAGTCTGATGTTTTAGATTGTGTAACGTAGATTAGTAATATTCATAGAATATAAAACATTATCACATGGCATAGATAAGCGCAATAACAATAACACGAATACATTCACTTTGCATATGTAATACGCAAAACGATTCATAAATGTCACAATGAGTAGTAAACAATTTTTATTAGCTATTGGATTGCAAAAGTCACAAGTTAAATATTCATTCTGTTATGTTTTATTAAAGAACGTAACAACAGCTGAGATAATGCTACAGTTTGGCGTTATAACATTTTCGTGAAAAAAAAAATAAAAACAAAATATAATAATAATAATAATAATAATAATAGTAGTGGTAGTAATGATAATAATAATAATAGTAGTAGTGGTGTAGTGATAATAATAATAATAGTAGTAGTGGTAGTAGTGATAATAATAATAATAATAATAATAGTAGTAATGGTAGTAGTGATAATAATAATAATAATAATAATAATAACAGGAGATGGAAGGGGAGGGAATCAAAATAAAAACAAGATAGAAAAATAATAACTAAGCTCGGGGATTTGAACGCGTGAGTAATTAATCGATCGATTTCTGAGCTCGTTTATTTATCCACAACCTATCCTTTTCTGACCTCCTCATTCTTTCCCTCTTCCTTCTCAACCGCGCGTTCTACTCCCCTTACTCCCCCCACATATATATATACAAAACAACCCACTCGAGAACGGTGCTGCTGCCGCCAACGACGCCGTGGCGATCTGGATTATAAAATAAATGTCAAAGAAACAAAATTTTACAGAAGAGAAAGAAATGTTGAAACATGAAATGCATCCCTTTTGTCGATCAGAAACAAACAAAATAAAGAATCCTTCCACGAAATAAGATTAATTTGTTAATTTACATAACACTATATTCCCTACTATTAATTGTTAGAAAGAAATTCAAGCGAAAATATGATAAATAAAAGTAACAGAAAGAGAGGTACATAAAAAGAAAAAGAGAGAGAGAGAGAGAGA